CTCAAGGCACTTTACAGTTCAACCAGATCATACAGTGAAATTGATACAAAGTTTTCTATCTAAGGAAAACCAGTTGATTGCATCGACTCATTGACTCTTCAGCAATCCCTCACACTAAGCATGCTTGTAGCGACAGTGGAGAGGAAAAACTCCCTTTGAACAGGAAGAAACCTCCAGCAGAACCAGGCTCAGTGTGAGCAGCCATCTGCTGAGGCCCACTGGGGTTCAAGGAGACAGAAGCAGACATAGAAAAAGAAGCATAGATACAAAAGGCAACTGTCAACCAGCTCCACAGGCGGCCCCGTCCAGGAAACACACAGCCAGGCAGACGAGCTCCGAGCCAGCTCCCATGTCAGAGAATGAAGAGAGCACATCCACTCAGTCACGGTCAGAGAAACAGGACTACACTGGAAAACAGGCCAATCTCCAACATCTATAAACAAGGGTGTTGATGGAAGCAGCAACCTTAAAAGCTTTAGGTACATATCCCTGTAACAGAGATAGATTAATCACATCTAAAATGGAGGAGGAGATCAAAGGGAATACCTCCTTAAATAACCTGGTTGGAACTGGATCTAACATACAAGTTGAAGGCTTAGATGAAGACAATAGTTTTGCTAACTCCGAAAGTTCAACAAAGCAGTCTAAACCCGGTTCAGATTCCATGACTACCTCAGATGCTGCCCCCCCCTCCAGAGACAAACCAATCGTAGATAGAGGAGTTTTAATTATCTTATTTACTTTAATTTACTAATAATAAAATCAATCTTATTTAAAAAAGAATCCCATAAAATCATTACTGCTAAGAGCAGGTGGAATGTTGGTTTAATGGTTCAACAGAGCTATGGCTCTTGGTGTTGGCGACTGTATTCAAAAGAAATCTAGGACTAGTCCATTAATGAGGAGAAATATGCTGCTCTTGCTTTATGGAGGGTCATCTTATACAGCAGTTAACTTTTTTTCAGACTAGGTAGGATTCCTGTAGGGATGTAGTACACCATTTCCTCTCCAGTTTCCTATCATTTGCATGGCTCTGCATTAATCCTGGGAGCCAGATTTCTATTTTCAAAATGTACTTTTTCAAAGTGGCTGAATTGTCTAAGGCAGTACGCAGAGAACTAGTAACCCCATCAACAAAACCATCAACCTGTGAAGAGGAATAAACCAAAAGTTTGCCCTCTGCAGCACTGCTCAGCGACACAGAGGAGAGAGAAAGCTAAACAGCTTCTTTATAATTTATAACTGTGCTATCTGATAATGATCTACTAAAGTGAAACATTCTGTTCAGGGAGGAGAACTCTGTTAAAGTAATCCTGACATTTATTAAAAAGTAGTCAGAGAGGACAGGGTTGTGAGGAAATACTGTTATTTCATTCTATGCCGTATGTCAGCACAAGATCCAAAGTATGAAGATGAGAATCTGACTATTCACATTTTGAACAAAGTGAATACATTTAAGGCTGCACTTAAGATATCATCTTTAATGTCGACATGGATCAGTCCTCCACTATGATGACCCTGTCAATATTCAACAGTTCTGTGGCTTTGCGTTTTGGATGAAGGAAACTAAGGGTTGGATGTTCAAAAGAGTTGTAATTATTAACTGCCTTTGAAGTAATCAGTAAGTCAGACTGAAAGATTGTTGCTACTCCTCCTCCTCGCCCATAATTTCTGGGTATGTGAAAATTTAAATAACTAGAAGGAGTTGCCTGATTTATGCACACATAATCCTCTTGCTGCAGCCAGGTTTCTCTAAGACAACATCAATCAATGTAATTATCCCAAATCAAGTCTTTCATAACAACTAACATACTTTTTAAAGAGATTTTATGTGAAATAATCCACATTTAACAGTGTTAACTTTTCCCTAATATGAATTATTTTTTTATTAGATTATCATGATTTACTACTTTGGGAATCTTTTCTAATTTATTTGATTTTGATCATGGGCGAGACACTGGATGGAGAAATGAGTGGGTAACAGTAGCGAAGCTGCACAGAGGTGTGTCAATAATAATAATAACAATATGTTTAATTCAATGGTGCCTTTCTGGACACTCAAGGTCAAAGATAAAAACACAATGGCAGAAACAAAGTCAAAACACAGAATAAAACCATTTAAAAAATACAAAGGCTGGGACAGGGAAATTAATATTAAAGACAATAGGCAATTTAAACAGATGAGGTTTGAGTTGTGATTTGAAATGGAGAAGTGAGTCCGTGTTTCTAAGTAGGGCTGGTAAAGAGTTCCAGAGGCGGGGGGCACAGCGGCTGAATATTCCACCCCCCTCAGTGGTGAGACGGGCTGAAGGGACAGACAGATGTAGAGCCGATGAGGATCTGAGATCACGGGAGGGGGTGGGAACATCCAGGAGGCCTGACAGATATGGGGGGCAAGGTGGTGAAGGTGGAGGGCCTTGAATGTCAACATGAGAATTTTAAATCGAATCCGGAACTGCAAAGGGAACCAGTGGAGCTGTCGGAGAACCAAGGTGATGTGGTGGATTTACTTAGTTCTTGTTAAAATGCGGGCAGCTAAGTTCTGGACCAGTTGCAGTTTATGGAGTGATTTTTGAGGAAGGCCAAAGAGGAGAGAGTTACAATAGTCCAGTCGGGACGCTGTGGACCAGGATGGCAGCAGTGTGTGGAGTAAGGGAGGGGCAGAGGCAGTTAATGCTTCCCAAGTGGAAGTAGGCAGATCGGCTAATGTTATTAATATGGGATTGAAAGGATAGGGAGCTATCAAGAAGGACACCCACACTCTTAACCTGGGGGGACGGTGAGATGGAGGAGCTCTCAATAATAAGTGGGAAGCTGTCTGTTTTGTTGATTTAGTGCCAATAAGGAGAACTTCTGTTTTGCTACTATTTAATTGGAGGAAGTTGTTGGTGAACTAGGCTTCTGTTTCAGAGATGCAATCTGTGAGGGACGCATGCAGAAGAGAAAACAATGGTGTTGTGGTGAGGTAGAGCTGCGTGTTATCGGCATAGCAGTGGAAGTGAATTTTAATTTATGGAAGATACTGCCAAGGGCATGGAGGTAGATGATGAAGAGGAGGGGCCCCAGGAAAGAGCCCTGGGGCACACCTGAGGTAATGGGGGAGGGTGGATTTCAGGGTCTTCAGTTGAATGAACTGAGTGCGACTAGAGAAGTAGGAAGTAAACCAGTCCAACGGAGTGTTAGTGATGGCAGTCGAAGAAAGTCTACTGATATGAGTGGAGTGACAGATGGTATCAAAAGCTGCAGTCAGTTCGAGGAGGATGAGGATGGTGACTCATCCAGAGTTAGATGCCATGAGGAGGTCATTGGGGGTTTTGATGAGTGCTGTTTCAGTGAGTTGCAGAATGTAGCTGGGAGGCAACTTTTTTTTCAAGAATCATGGAAATGAAGGGTAAGTTGGAGATAAGATGGAGGTTGTTGAAGTTAATCAGGTCAGCACCATGTTTTTTTAACAATTGGGAGATGGCAGCAATTTTTAAAGGTATAGTGACACTTCCAGTGGTGAAAGAGGAATGGATGATAGAGGAAATGAGGGGTCAAACTGTGACTCTGCTTTCTGGTCTGCACCATGGGATTTAGGGGTGGAACGGTTCACAAACTCCACGGTTCGGTTCACGGTTTCATGGTCACGGTTTTCGGTTCGGTCCGGTATATGTTTATTGTTACATGAAAAATAATAAAAATTAATGAAAAATAAAAATTTATGAAATTAATGAAAAAAATCCAGAAAAATATTGGATTGTAATTATTTTAATGATCCACGGAAACCCTGGATCATTTCCGTATGTTTTGCTGCTTTGAATTTAATCATCTGGCGCATGCTCTCTACCATCTCCAAGGAACTCAGAGGGGAGCGGACGGGAGCCACAGTGGAGGCTGTAGGCTTTGCTTTGAGCAGCCGGTCTGGAGCACAGCGGGGCGGAGCGCTGACGGAGTATGAGGGATTTCGGGGTTAGCATGACATGTTGATCGTGTTGCTGTTAGCATAAACAAAACGTGTTGCACAATGCTTGCACACTGTTGCACTTTTATCCACTGCACTTTTATCCACCGCTTTCTTCCCGCCGTCATCGTAGGTCACTCTAAATGCAAAGTGGTCCCATACAGCAGACCTATAAAGTGCTGCTGGCGCGTCTTCCAGCTCCTGTTCTTTCCCACTCACCATACCCACACAATTCTCCACAACAACTGATTTTTTTCTGCTACACCCGGCTGCGCTGCTTCGCTTCTTCTTCTTCTTGTTTACTACTGGTGGTTGGCTTTGGTCGCAGTACCGCCACCTTCTGCTCTAGAGTGTAAACGCTTCACCTATGAGAAAAAGGAGCAGCGCATGAACCGAACGCAACACACGCGAACCGAACCGAGACAGTAGAACCGAACGGTTCGGACGGTTTTCATAAACCGTTCCATCCCAAATGGGATTTCAGGGTTTTTGGAGGACTATAATACATTTGGCCATCATCAGAGCTCCAGGGCATGAAAAAGCTTAAAGCAGCTAAAAAAACAGTAATTCAAGTTTTAAGAAATAAAAAAATAATCTATATAATGTTATAACTACAAATATAAATTACAAAGTGATCACATGGCTTGTATTGAAGATTCATAAATTAAATTGGGACGTCATTTTAGCTTTCTTGATTATGTGTGAATATATATTTGATAAGAGTCCAAATGTAACTGTTAGGGTTCCAGTTTGTGGGGTTTTTTTTTTTTTTTCCTTTTTCAGTGTCTCCGTGTATCCACCAGATGGTGCCATTGTTTCTCTGTTGGCCTGGAGGGCCTCCTCCTGCTCTCAACTGCTCACACCTGCAGCTCGTTGGTCATCACCGTCTGAGGAGTATATAAGCAGCAGACTGTCACCATCTCCTCGCCAGAGTGTTTGCTAGTATATGGTACTCTAGCCCCTCTGAGTTTTGCTGAGTCAATTCTTTGAGTTTTCATTTTTTCTGAGCTCTCAAGCGCTAACCTAGTTTCTCTCTTGTTAATCTCCGGCAGGATTTCTACAGATCCACCGGATAAGCCTGGTCCTTCTAGCCTTGGAAGGAACTCTCTTGTTACGCTGAAAAAAGGAAACAATTCACCTTATTAGAACGCCGTCCAAGTCAGGAAAACAAGTTACAGTCTGCTCCGCTGCTCCTCAGGACCACCATAGTCTGCCTTTCTGTCCTCCAGCAAGTAAACTCCATAACAGTGCAAGCCTCCACAAACAGGAACCTTTGAGCAACCGCAAAACCTCTATAGTGAGTCCTTGTCTAGCAATTTTTCAGTACCAGCCGGTTTTCCCACGGATCTTGAACTCACCACTCTGATCTCTTCCCAGAGCTTTCGCTTCCGGTCCACCAGACCGCTGGATTTTCCCCAAGGTGAGAAACCAGTTATTTTTGTCTCTCTGTGCCCCAGTGTTTTCAAAGCATTTTTTTTTTTTGTTTCATTGTAAAGCACTGATGGCGGCCTTTATTCTTATGCCGCTAGGCCCAGAAGCTCATGTACTTCCTGCGGAGGATGAGGAGGGCCCACCTGCCCCCCTCTTAAACGGAGGTGGTGGACTCAGATTCTAGCTTCCAAAAGCTTACCATTCAGTTATTGAGATGATTCCTTCCAGGTATCACCTCACCCCCCACCCCATCACAGAGGAACAAAGTACCTCCTCTCTTCAGCCAGGTGAACAATCCCACCTTTAATGACCGACCTTCAGAATCATAGACAGGTTTCAGATATTACAGGCTAACGATGGAACCAGACGACCCGCTCGTCAGTTTCAATTGGCATGTTTCCGAGCAATACCAGGCCTCGTCTATAAAGCCTCAAACTCTCTGCGGTTCCAGACTTTGAGTTGGGAAATCTTCCTGGATGGGAAGCGAAACGTCTTCAAACCAGTGGCGGCCGGCCCATAGGGGGCGCTGGGGCACCGCCCTCCCTGATAAGAAGAGAAACGTAAAATATATTTTTAGACATTAACTCATAAATGTCAGTTTTACTCTCTAGACTGTGTACCTATAAGCAAAACAAATTATATAAACTAAATTTCCCTACCTACTGTCATTCATTTGTGGATTTCCACAGACAGACTCCTACCGTCTCTGTCTTGGGGCGCTGATCAGACTGACCCACATGTACAGAGAATCTGTCAATCATGTACTATTGCTAGGTGAATTTAATGGCCAATCAGCGTCTCAGAATTTTATGGTCTTGGGGCTCTGAAAATACTGCCCTTTAACAGGCTTTTGCACCCAATACACAGGTGCAGACATTAGAGGGAAGATGGAGAACGTAACGAGCGAGATGCAGCTTCCACCAAATTCGGTGAGATCCTTATTTATCTACCCGTTTGCCAGAAGAACATCCCTGTTGTAGGATATGAAAATTTCATGTCATGGTTATTGTGACGAATCCACCTCGTCACTTAAAATAACCTCTGTAACTGTGCGTGCCACACACATTCCTGTTGTACTGTGCTTGTGAGGACCAATCCGCTCGCGCTGAGCCCAGTAGCTCCATTAACTTAAAACACACAAGCTGTTCTGGTTACCTGCTGGCGTATTGAGGGTGCACACTTAATATTTCAGTGGGGTTAGCCGTGTGTGTGCGTGTGTGTGTGTGTGTGTGTGTGTGTGTGTGTGTGTGTACGTGTTTATGCTACGGGGACTTGTCATCTTCAGTCTGGCAGCGTCTTTGCTGGATTCAAACCCAGTTTGGTGTAATTGAATAAGTCAATGAATCTGTGTAAAGGAATTAAGTTGTAAAAATGATTTGTTTTTGTACATCAATTGTTTGTGGAGATAATATATGGACAAAACTGATTTATGAGAAGAAATCAGAAATAAGAGAGCCTGAGGGGAGGGGCTTAAACTATTTAATGAGGGCTGTGGGAAGAAGAGCGGCCATTTCTGTTTTCTGTTTCTTTGTTCCATTGCTGGTAACTGGAGGGAGGCTGAGGCCCAGAGGATCTTGTACATGTTTAGTTTCTTTTGCACCCTGTTTTGAGTTTTTGAGCTCAATAAATCACCAACACCGGTAACCCGACTGAGACTGCATTCTTGGAGTCCAAAGAACCCCGTCACAGTGACCCAAATCATCACTGTTACTGTTATTATACAGTACATTAAATCATTACTGTTAAATTGTATTTCATTTCCAATTGTTTATTTGAATTCTTATTCTGGATTAGTTGGAGACATACACTAGGCTATATCAGCCCCACCAAAAATATTTTTCACCAGCCGCCACTGCTTCAAACCTTGGAAACCAAGTCCAGTGGATTGTTTTTTAACTTTTAAGGAATGACAAAGACCGACAGGACTATTACGCTGACAGGGGGCAAGGTAAATTATATGGTCAGTCAAGATCAGCACATGATGTTCAGCGCCCTCCAGCCAATGACGCCACTATTCTAGAGACAACTGAATGGAGCGAAGCTCTTGGTGTCCTAAGTCATAATTTCTTTCAGTAAGAGTGAGCTTTTGAGTTAAAAAGGCACAGGGATGCAGTTTTGCATTGTCATGACACTAAAAACCTTTTGTTACAAGTTTCTTATTGTTGAGCTTTTCTCCTCCTGTGGAGTCGCTGCGTACTTAGAGACATAATCCATACACTTATGACCATCTTGTTCTGAAGCAGGTTCTTTAATTGAAGACGGGATGTTCTCTGAGTGCTCAATAAAAGGAAGAGACAAAATCATTGATATAAGAACAAATTGCAGAGGATAATTTACCTTAGGTATGAATGAACGCTGCTATTTAAAACAGCAGTGGTCCAGATCTTAAGCTTTCTATCGATTTATCAAAAAGAATTTCCCATGTCAGGATGTTACCTGCGACCTGTCTTCCTACCTCTAAAATAAACATAGATGGCTCTATTGATTAAGTTTTGGAATGTCCCCCAAGCTGACTTGCACAGGATGTTGATAGACATGCACACAATGAGCAATAGCCTTAAATTAATCCTTAAAAAGAAATTAACCTGCAGTCGTGATATGAGACAATGCTGAAAAGGGATTATTTTATGCCCCATAAAATAACTTCCTGGGGGATTTCGCTGACAAGAGCAACCAGTGGTGCTTGAAGCTTTCCACCAATGACTGATGGCCTCACTTTTTCATGGATCCCACAGAATATTTCCAATTGGATTAGAGCTCTCAGAGTTTAGAGAAAAAGCATGTTTTTCAAATGCAGATTGTGAATGCTTCTCCCTTTCGATAGGCAGTAGGACTATAGGTGTCTCTACAGTCAATGTTCTCTCAAATCTAAATCAATGTCTCTGCTGCAAACCAAATCAGAAACCAATTCAAGGATCTCTGAGGGTCACCTTCTATCATCCCTCTATGTAAAACATCTACGTTTTAAGACTTGTTTCTCACAAAAGACCTATTACTGTAAATAAGACTGTATCAAAGCCATGATATCTACAATTAAAAAAAAGACTGGATAAAAGTCTCAGGATGTCTATCTGCTGTGAAATAAAACCATTTATAAGTGAAAATTTCTGCCTGCTATAAAAAGGGATACGAGTCATGATGTCTGCCTTCAGTAAGACTCGACAAGATAAAACACATCATGGCTATCTGCTTTAAAATATCTGCATAAAACTGATATTTGCTGGCTGCAGTATAAAAACAGATAAATGTCCTGATTTTTCCTGCTAAAACGAGACTAAATAACAGACAGGATAACTTTCTGCGTTAAGCTAAGATTGGATCAGTTTTAATCAAAATCAGGGATTTAGGAGGATTTGTTCCTAGTCAAATGAAGTTTTCTAGACCAGCACACCAGAAGGCCACCATTTTAACCAGATACTGAACTGTGTACATTGTTTTCAAGTACAGGACAATGAAATTCCCTCTCTGCATTTAACCCCTTCCCTTAGGGAGCAGCGGGCTGCCATTGTGCCGTTCCCAGGGAGCAGTGTGGGGTTAAGGGTCTTTGCTCAGAGCGTCAGTCCGTGGGGGTGGGGCTTAAACTCAGAACCTCTTGATTCCAAGTGCAATGCCTGAACTACTAGGCTGCCAATCCTCTGACAAAATCCAGGTCATGGCCTTTCAATTCAAGACTAATTTGTGGAAACGAGATGTTGCTTAACTTTTTAGCTTCTGACCCATGTGTTGTACCAGAGTCCAGTCATGATCCACAGTATTAATTGAGTGGACAATCATTTTGTAAAACTTAACAATGGGTTAATATTACAAGCAACAGGAGCAAAGCGACACTTTATGTCTTCAACCACTGTGACAAAGAGGGTGAAGACATCGTTTGGTCAGAGCTCAGATAATCTTCAGTTAATGTCTGGCTTGTTAGAAATAGCCCGTCTTTTTAGTCTATGATAATTTGCTCTCCTGGCTTTATTTAGTTGCATTTATACAGAAAGTTTGGAAGAAGAAGCATCTTTTTAATATGGCTATAAACACCAACACAGTGTCTTAAGAAAGAGGTTTCTCCAGATCCGGTGGAAGACAGACCACTACAGAACATCCTTCCTGCCTACAGCCATCTACACAAACAACCACTGGTTTAAAAAAGAAGTCAATTACTGCAACATTTATTTTCCCTTTGGGATTAAAACACTATCTTTGAATTGAATTTTAATCAGCTCACCTGTGACAAGAAAGCATTCTTATTTCTCCTTTAGAAGTGTCAATCTGTGCATTCTATAGTTTGTGAGATCCTTAACTTCCTGCATTCATAGCTTCCTCTTTAAAGTTGAGGTTGGAGGAAAGAACCAGGTAAAAATGGGGGAAAGAACCTAGATGACTGTATCATATTTTATATCTAGTTTTTAGACACTTATGTGGAAAACTCTCAGGAAACAAGTGAATAAATGGTTTGACAATTGAATTGAACAAATGATGGAGAAGATTGAGCTTAGTGACAGCATCAGGGAATCAGCCAGGAAACTCTGAGGGGGGAGACAGCGTTGGATGAGGTTTGCCAGGAACGGGGTAGAGAAAGAACTGAACCAGTAAGGAAGGACGGCAGTGGGTTCCTGAGGAGAACTGTCTATGGAGAACTGCCTGAGTTGATGTTCTTGGAGCCAGCTGGATAGAAGACGGTTGAGGCAGGAGAAGGACCAGGATAAGGACCAACGGCACGGGCAGGAGTTGCTGGGCCGACTGAAGTGCAAGATGTTCTTATGGTAGTGGGGGTCAGACGACACAGAAACCTTAGCACATGTGCCAAGCAAACAAGTGAAAACTCTGTCATATATCACTTTAATGAAAAGCACACCACCGATACAGCTCCTCTGTCATCTGGTCGAACGCTGCAAAATTATATTTGAAAAGTAGAAACTGTATTGATGCATTTGAATACTCATATTTAAATAGATCAACCAAGGAAGAGAAAGTCTTTTTCCCATGTGGGATCATTTTGATCTTATTGCAGAGAATAGATGATTATTCTGTCCTTATTTCAACTTTTCATTAGTTTACTTTCTGATTATTCATATATTCCTTTCTGTAGAATATATGAATTAGTTTACATGCATTAACTTTTATTTCTATTGCAGGGGAAATGTAGGATTTGGTCCCTGGTACTGTATTAGTTTAACATCATAGTGCCTGGTATGAGAGAGAAGGTTAACATTCCAGTGATGAACTGTGGTAATTCCAGAAAGCAGGCGATGGAGGAGGCTGTAGTGAATATGATCATTACAGAGAGCGGGGGGGAGGAGGAGGATGGGTCCTAAGAACTGCTCCAGCTGCTCCACCATATTGGAATCGGTGTAACACAAACAAGGTCTATGGATATTATGTGCTTTTGTTGAGTTTTTACGGCACTAGCGGCTTGTTTTTATGGACAGTAGGCTGACAGGAAAGGGGGATGAGAGGGGGGTAAACTTCGCATTGAGGACTAAGGCCTCCGTACATGGGTCATGTGTGCTAAGCACTGCGCCACCAAAGCACCTCCATGTGCTTTCTGCTTCTAGCTCAA